GCCCGTGACAACAAGTCTGGGACCTCTAAAATATGAAACATCAAATGCAAATCGTAACACCTCATTCCACACAATGCATGTAACATATACCTCCACATAAGAAATACATGTTCATATACCACATAGGTCCCTTAGTACAAGAATTGACCAATACTGAATATATGGTCCAAAAAAATTCAAAATACAATTCTCGTACTAATCAACTTTCATCTATCAAAACTATACATGTCATAGACAATTCTTCATGCAGATATACATATAGGAAAATATTATATTTTTCTCTTCCCCTTACCGTCTGCACCTCCTGCAATACTTATTTAAAATCACAAAACAAGGGTTAGACCGAAAGGTCTAGTGAGTTCCCTTTTCATGTTATTGCAGAGTGATAATCACCAAAACTTTTATGTAAAACATCTTTTCATATATATAACAAATATATGAACATGTAAGAACATATTACCAGTACTTTTTTACCTTTCAAGCCAAATTCTCTGCTTGCAAATAATATATCAAAACCCCAATTAGGTTTGTACGAACCAGGTATATCATAGTGCCACTTTTAAACCTTTCTATTTAAAAAAGGTCTATTCAAAGTTTCAGACCAAACCTGTTATTTCCTCCTCAATAACATCCAGACTATGATTTCCAATAAGAACCCTGATTTTAAACCCTTAAATCACAAAGAAATAAAGATTCCAGACCACGGAAATCTTAAAGAATATAATAGTAAGAGTTATATCACATAAGACACATACAAATGCCACCCTTATATCCAAATGTACACCTCTCCTTGATATGTCACCCTTATTCCATGGTACACCTCTCATTGATATGCCACCTTTTATCCTCTGGTACACCTCTCCTTGATATGTCACCCTTATTTCCTCATCAAAACTTTTCACAAAACAATTCCATATAAAACAGACCGCAATCAAAGGAATATTATCAGTTCAAAATCATCCTTATCAAGAATTCCCATTTTATATAAAAATGATAAAAATAACAATTTATATAAACATTATATAAGTCAGAGTACAAATCCGGTCAACATAGACTTGGCCGGACTTCATCTCCGGTCAAGCCTTGGCCGGTTTACCAAATCCGGACAACACTATTCATCTTGTCCGGATTACTAATCCGGACACCAAATCGTCCAAAGCCTTGTCCGATTTACCACTAAACCGGTCAACATATCATGTGATCTTGATCGATTTATAAATAAAATCGGTCACCTTTTGGTCGTATTCATACTTCTCCATTTAAAATACTTAACATAAACTCAAAGTTCATAAATCGCTCAACACCTAAATCGTCTAATACATTGGTCGGATTACCCTTAAACTGGGTGAGACTATGTCTGGTTTACATTTAAATCGCTCAACCCTTGTCCGGTTTATTCTAATCCGGACAACGCTTCATCCAGTTTAAACTTAAAACCCGGTGAAAAGTTTTTATAAATAATTATGCAATTTAAAGAGACTTTAAAGCATTACTCACCTTTTGGAAACACTTTTGAGAATTACTTCTTGAATCCGGTCAGAAAGAAATCCGATTACCATGTTTTCTAAATCGCACACTCTTTCTCAATTTTTGCAAGAAGAAACAATGGGAGACTTCACCCTCCTTTTTATACCCTTCCTTAATAGGAAGGTCGGCTACTACAGCCCTCACATGCATGCATACATCCACTCATACCATCATATAACTATGTATACACTTATGCACACATGCACATATTTATACATACATTCATATGTATACATGTATTATTAATGCATATTAATATCTACANATATAACTATGTATACACTTATGCACACATGCACATATTTATACATACATTCATATGTATACATGTATTATTAATGCATATTAATATCTACATAAATATATTGCATACTCATTTATGCACATAATTTCACATATTTGCATGATCAATATAACAATTTATCATGCTGTCACATAATCATTTATCAAATAATCACATATTAAATACCTCGGGTGATAACCAGAATCCAGTTATCACACAAATAAATCACGAAATCAAATGTCTTCAAATATGCTAAAATACCAGTTGTTTGAGTGCGACTAAAACCATTATCCCCGTCCTCTTCAACATATTGGAGCACTTCAACAACATTTGGAAACAAAGCAATAAAGCTCAAAATGGCTTTGTAATGAGAACCCCACCGTGTATCTTTGGTTCGTATAAGAGAAAGCTCTTGGTATTTCCTTGTTCCAATATCAATTTCACACTTACCAATTGCTTCTTGTACTCTATCTTTGTAACTTTGTCGAAGCATGTCTTTACGCTTGCAAGAAGCATTCACCACATTGATCACCATTCCTAACATATTAAAAAAGTTCTCAACTTCGTCATGTTTATTTGCAACCGCCACAACAACTAATTGACGTTGGGAGCAAAACAATGGATATAATATGTCGAGCTATTTTCATTCAAGATCAAGGCCTTTAATCCATTAAACTCACCACACATATTGCTTGCTCCGTCATAACCTTGCGCTCTTACCTGTTTCAAACTCAATCCATGTTCAATAAATAAAGTATCAATGGCATATTTAAGAATTAAAGAAGATGTCCCCATCACATGAACAATACAAAAAAAATCTCTCCTTAACAATACCACATGCATCAACATATCGTAAAACCACCGCCATTTGTTCCTTCTTAGAAACGTCACTAGACTCATCAACTAGCAATGTGTTAGGACTGAATTTCTGTGTAAAATTGTATTCGTCTTGAAAGATAAGATTGTCTATAATTAAAATAGACATCGTGTTTGACTTTGTATGTACTTTGACTTTGACTTTGAAGGGTTCATCTTTGACCCTATAAATAGTATAGTCTTAGTGTAATTTTAGTRAGTAGGATTCTAATTGTAATATCAKATACGTAATAGAGAGTTTGACCACATTTGAATGCATTGACTTTTTCTCTCTACTTCTCCTACATGTTCTTAATAGAAAATCATGTCTGACATTGATGATTTGAAGGTTTCTTGAAAATTGATCATATAAGGGGCTCACAATTGGTATCAGAGCACGTTTGCAGGAAATCTGATTGAAGAAATCTTCATGAATTGCACAATTTTCTGAAAATTTCATCTTCTTGTTCTTGATGTTCATGTGTGTTCTTGAATGTTCATTATTTTCTTCATAAATTTTCTCATAAATTTCTCATTTTTGAACAATTGATAGTTAAAATTGTGTTCATTGTGTACAGATTTAAATCGTGAATCTGTTTCATTCTTTCATTTACATGATTTTGTCTTTGAAAGTAAAGATTTGGAGAGTTGATGAAGTTTTGATGTTCTTCGTGTTCATGTGAAAACTCATCAAAAAGGTAGAGTTTGATCCAAAGTTTGTATAAACTTTTGTAATATTTGTGTTTGCGGGTTGTTTTGATCTAAACTTGTTTGTTCTTTTAGATTGAATCTTGTTAGTTGATCGGATTAGAGTGCTTACAGATTTTAATCGATTTACTTGATCATAGCAGAAAGTGAGCAATTTGTTTAGAGGCTGTGTTTTAAACGATTTTGAGCGAATCCGGACACTTCTTGAGCGGTGTTGACCGGATTAAAGCAAGGCTTGACCGTATTCGGACATCAAGTAAGCGGTTTAACTAGCGGATTTAAACAGTTGTGACCAGTGGATTTAAATAGTTGTGTGACCAGCAGTTAGAAGTCTTGCAAAAAAAATTTGGACCGGTTAAAAGCAGTCGTTTTGACCAGCAATGATAAGAACTGGTGTACTCTTCTGACTGTTTAAGAACAGCCTTGTATTGACCGGTTTAGATACATTCAGCGACCAACTAATAGAGGTGATCAGATTAGTTTTTTTTAGTGACCGGATAATAGGCTGTACTTTGTACGTTTTATCTTGTTTAGCCCGAGCAATTTACAACACAGTTTTGAGCGATGTATTTCAAGATTTAAGCAGTTTTTATTTTAGTTTTGAGCGGGTTAAGCATAGTGGTGAGCGGACTTGACCGGTTTAGACTTATAGGTAAGCTATTTAGGGTATAGCCTTGTCCGATTTATGCAACAGTGGTGAGCGATTTATCTACATAGGTTGAGCGATTTACACTTTGTGATTTATATCATGCAGGCTATGACTTGAACGATTTATGTGCATGCTTTGAGCGATTTAGGATCTTCTCTTGAGTGAGTTATGGTTTGAGCTGTGAGCTGTCTGTTTTTAGAAGATTGTGCAGTGTGGTGGTGATCGATTAACTGTTCTGCTTTGTCAGGTTTAGCAACGTACAACAGGTGATTTAGTTGATCATGTTGTATGTGTAGTGAGCGGGTTTAAGTTCTGTGTCTTGATCGTTTTAGAAGCTACCTTGACCAATTTATTCATCTTGTTGTAAGCGTTTTAAACCATGCAATGATCGGATTTTGAACTAGTAGTAAGCTGCGTAAGCTGTGAGTTGATTGTTTTAGAAACAATGTTGATTTTTTTAATAAGGTCTGTGTTTTTACTGCTGCTGTGTGTGAGCAGTTTTCTACAGTTATGTGCAAGTGTTTTACAGCATTTGTTGAGCAGATTATAACTGTTTGTTAACAGGTTTAGGCAGCATGCAGTAAGCAGTGAGCGGATTAGCAACTTCTTTTGAGCAGACTTGATAGGTGTAAGGATTTGCATGGTGAGTGAGCTATAATTTGCTGTAAGAAATTTAAATTGTATTGTGAGCGATTTAATACTAAGCTTGGAGTGATTTAATGAGTGTAGTGAGTGAATTAAGAGTTTGTTGAGCAGCCTTTCATCTTGAGTGATTTTCTTAGTAAGTTGGTCATAGGTGGGCGATTTTCTTGAGCATGCGGTGAGTGGACTTAACAGTATTTGATTTTTTTTAGTGGATATAGGTTGAGAGGTAATTTATTTAGACTTCTTGCTTTAAGCAATTTTGAGTGGATTAAGAGACACATTGTCTAAGCTTTGAGCAATTTTGACTGGATGGAGAAACTGTTTTTGAGTATTATAGGTTTTATCAATGAAAGAATTGTTTTCTCACAATTTATCTTGTAACTTCCTGCTTACTATACTGATTGGACTTTTATCATCTTGTTAATTGAATTTCTAAGGATTGTGTGAATTTTTTTAACTGTATTTCTTTGATCATTTTTCTTGAACTGCATAGATCCTGTATTTGATCAATCTTATTTTTTTTAAATGGCAGATACTATAGAAAAGGAGAATAAAGAGATGAGAGCTCAGATTTGCAAGCTGGAAACGAGCATAGTGGACTATAAAGAAAAATACATAAACATTTTTTTATGAGAACCATTCTAATGTAGAATTCATTGCAAATCTGCAAAAAGAGCATAAAGAGGTTTTAGAAAAAGTTGAGAATGATTTCAAAAATCAAATTAATAAACTTGAAAATTCTCTGAATGATGTATGAAAAGATTGTGATATTGAGTTGAAAACATGGAGTAAGTCTAATAACAATCTATTTCACAAACTCCAAGAAGTTCAAAGTGAATTGAAAGCTGAAAGAAACTCCTCAGGTAGAAAGCATTCTAAAACTGATAAATCTCATAATAATTGAAAGTGACATGGTTTAGATAAGAAAGCTTCTGAATCTATAGAACGAAAAGGTTTTGAAAGCGGAAAAGGATTTGAATGTTGAAAGGAAAGTTTTGGAGAAAGAAAAGAAAAAGATTATAGAAATTGAGAAAAGATTTTGTACTGAACGTGAATCTTATGAAAATAAGATTAATTCTCTTGAGCTGAATGCTAAATTTCTTTCAAATCAAATTTTAGATTTTGAACAACTTATCATCTTGGAACGAGCCAAGGTTGATAAAGAAAAGAAAGAGGCTAAACAAAAACAAAAAGCTCTAGATGAAGATAAAAGGTTGTTTGTTCTTGAGAAGAGAAGTACTGTCAAGAAACATGCTGCAATTGCCAAAGAGCTTACTGAGAAAAAGAAATGTCTTGACATTGCTTCAGAAAATGAGAAGGGAAGTTCAAACGGAGAGAAAGGAATTTGAGAAAGAAAGGAAAGTATTTGAAAAGTTAAAGAAGGAATTAGAAGGTAAGTTTTTTGATACTGTAAAGAAATTGTCTGATCTAGAGACAGAACTTGAAACTGAATTGAAGATGAGAACTGAACTAAAAAATAAGTATGATTTAGTTGCTGTCGAACGAGACCAACTTTTAAAGAAAGTCAAAGACTTTTCTTGTGCTCAAAGCTCAACTGGTCCTCCTTCACAGTGTAAAACAAGCTTTTATGACTGTTCCAAATCGAATAGTTATTCAAGTAGTCCTAAATCAACTATTTCTAAGAACTATTCTCGTTCTTCTAGTCAGTATTATCAAGGGTATGTCATTAGATCACCCAATAAATCTTCTAAGACTAGAAATATTTGGGTTAATAAAGCTGATTATGTTTCATCTCATACACCTGTTGTTACTAACTCTGTTCTTCCTTGCATTGTGAGATCCACTAATGATCTGATCAATCTTAGCAAAAGAAGAATTATGTGTTCAACATGCAGAACGAATAATCTTGTCAATAAGAAAAGGTTCAACAGGTGGCATGGAGATAACAGCTATCAGAACAGTTGGAAAGGTAAGAACAGGTATGATCATAATAACTGGTATAGATCATATTCTATTTCTGATCATCCTGTTCAAAGTGCTAAAAATAATATATCTAATAAGAATAGATGGTTTGGAAGTTATAATGTACCCCAACCCGATACTAACAAAATAGGACCCAAATTCATTTGGGTACCAAAATCTACTTAATCTGGTTTTGCAGGTGTGTCAATTTTGTGCTGATCAGAATCTCATTTTAGTGATACACCAATGTATGGGGAGTTGTAATTTATTCCAAACGAGGCTTTTGAATACTTCAGTTCAGAACCGTGCATTACCGAGTGTGGTTTCTAAATACACAGTTTAGGACCCGTGCTAAACATGCTTCCATTTTTTTTTATTCTTTTGAGCTAAATTGAATCATTACTAAAATCAACTTTCTAGGGGGAGTCTCTAGAAGTTTTTTGTAAATATTTTTTGGAAAATGATTTTTTTTTTGGGAAACGAGTACATTTTCTGAACAGGTATTTCCTGAGATTTTACTTGTGTAATTTCTCATCGTACATAACTCCAATACCTGTTTCAACTATTCTTGAAACTGTTATTATCACGTCTCTTAAAATGATAATCATTTTCAGTGATAGTACGCTCGTTTGTATTCAAAGTTTGTTTTCTGATTTTTTTTTTTACTTTGATTGATATACATTCAATAATTTTTTTGAATATCAGAATCTGTAAACTTGTTCTTACAGATCTTCATTCATTTCTCTCATATACCAAATAATTTGATCGTTGTCGCATCTTTCTTTCATTGATTGTGCTTAAAAGCCAAATTTCTTGATCAAATTTTATCTGATCATTGTGCTTATCTACAATAATATTTTTGATCAACTATKTGTGATCAACTGTGCATAATGCTAAATTTTAGGAGGGACTGAGTGCTTATCAGAAATACCTCAATGGAATGTCAGAACCGACAAACCTACCCATGAGGACAACCATATCTGAGTGAGCATTATATACAAAAAGGTTTGTGTGCTGAGACTAAAATGAAAATGAGAGGGGTAGTTGTGGTGAGCTAAAAGATTTGACGAGAGTTGTGTCAGGATTAAAAGAAAACGAAAATCCTGTTCCAAACTTCTAAAATCCGGTCATACCACACAATCTATAGTTCTCAATTCTTTCGAGACTAATATTGAAAAAGGCAAAGCCCAGGCCAATTCTTGTCACAACCCCACCAGCTACTCATTTATCTCTCAACAGATAAGTGTTTCAATAACACTTGGGGCACGCAGCTCATCATCTATCAATTTCTCATTCGGAGAAAATTGATATTGAAACAGAAGGATATATGTCCCCCCTTCAAGTCTTTTTTATCTCTAATTGAGTCTGATAAATTTATGTAGTCCACACGGTTTATCTTTTTGAGCCTAAACAGAAGCATACATTGCTTTATCTTTCTACACTACACAGATTTTGCATTTTATATGTTATTTTGCCAAAACATTCATAGATATGATTTTTTTAAGCTATCGATGATTGAATGGAAGACCTGGTGAGATAAGCCTCAAAAAGTCTCATATATACAGTACATATGTTGTACTGAGTATATCTGTTATACTCACAGGCCAATCTTTCTATAAGATTGAAAACAATTTCATACGTTGAAATTGACTGTTATCTTCCCATTTCCTTAATCTGAAAAGATTAAACAAGTGGATTTGAAAAAATCTACTTACTATTTCTTGAATTGACGGCTTACGCAGAGTATTTCATTCATTCTTATGTATGATGGAATGATTCTCATTTCATCATAAGGGGGAGTATGTAATAATGAATGAAATGTCCAATTCCGAACATTATAAGGGGAATCTGATGTAAAGATCAAAGGGGAGTAACTTCAAATTTGGCAAAAGACTCAAAAGAAGTGCGACTGGAGATGATTACAAAAGATTATTCTTATGCTAAAATGACTGAGAGATGTTGAATGTGAAGATCCATTTTACAATGGTTTGCTGATGAAGACTACCTTGAAGAGAAAATTTTCTAAAGATCATTTCTGAAGTTCGTTATTGTTTCTGATCTACATTGTCAAAAGAGAAGATCATCACGGTTCTACATTCGAGCGGGAGAATGTTAGAAGATCTTTCTCAACAAACGATTGCCTGAAGATTTCAAGTGAAGATTGTTTTTGATGTTTCTGAAGAAGTCATAAAGAGACAAAGTTCAAACGAGATTCAACGCGCGCAAATTCTTTCAAGTCTGAATACAAAGAGGGAGAATGTTAGGACTGAATTTCTGTGTAAAATTGTATTCGTCTTGAAAGATAAGATTGTCTATAATTAAAATAGACATTGTGTTTGACTTTGTATGTACTTTGACTTTGACTTTGAAGGGTTCATCTTTGACCCTATAAATAGTATAGTCTTAGTGTAATTTTAGTGAGTAGGATTCTAATTGTAATATCATATACGTAATAGAGAGTTTGACCACATTTGAATGCATTGACTTTTTCTCTCTACTTCTCCTACATGTTCTTAATAGAAAATCATGTCTGCCATTGATGATTTAAAGGTTTCTTGAAAATTGATCATATAAGGGACTCACACAATGAGAACACATCATCACCAACTTCTTTACGAATGGATTTGAGTATTTGATTTGCAAAACAAGCAGCAATATCTTTTTGAATACTTGAAAACACCATTTAATTATTCTTTGGAGCATTTTTTAATATAACTTTACCTACATCCTCATTGCAATCACCAATTAAGACTAATGTTTCTAAGAACATGTCTTTAGAAATAGATATTTCAGATTCATCGTGACCACGAAAAGGCAATGCATTCTTCAACAAGAATCTACAAGCCTCAATTGAAGCATTTAATCGTATTCGGTGCTCATTCTTCTCCTTCTCAGTTTGCTTATGAAAGGCAACAACAATAGATCGATCTTGGCTCATTAGATCCCCACCTTTCTTAAGTGCTCTATTGTGAAAACTATTAATGTCGCCAACATGAAGACCAAGTCTCTCCGTTTTATTCCAACTATTAAAGCCATCTGTTACAAAAGCATCACTCCCACATTGTCCTACGTAATGATCTCTAAACAAATAACAACACAAACAAAAAACTCTATTTGTTTTTACACTATACTCCAACCAATTAGCGTATTGATCAAACCAAGCCGGACAAAAACGTCTTCCTTTACTCCCGACATATTTTTTGGGAAATACATGACCCCGTGGTTGACAAGGTCCTCTAAGCAAGTATTTTCTCCTTATTTCATCCCTTTGATTAGGATGATATTCCGAAATCTTTTTCTTATCGGCTGGATCCCAAAGAAGATCATTCAAATCAATTTTGTAGGGCATCGAAGGAGCAGAGCTCGATTCAGGTGTTGATGTTTTCCTTTTAAAAAATCTTACCATTTTTTCTAGCAATAACAATAACAAGATAAAAATCAATGGTTTATCTTTATCAATAGTAATATTTCCATTTGCCTACAAAATTGCAAAATTAACCTCATATTTCCACTTGTCTATAAAATTGCAAAATTAACCTAACATAAAATATTTACCAAAATATAAAATCATCAACTGTGAAGCAAACAACAAAATCAAAGTCATTCAAAATTAAATATTGGAATTTAGAAATCAAAAATTTTACCCAAATTAAATTAGAGACTGGAGTAGGTAAGCAGACTGCAGTAGCCTGTAGTCGCACGCTGCACCGCACGCAGGGAAGAAGCAGCCACAGCCAACGCCCAGCAGGGCCGACGGCCAAAGAAGAAGAAGGAGGCAGCCGCACGCAGGGAAGAACTGAAGAAGTAGCCAGCAGGTGCGTGCGTGATGCGTCGACCGTGAACTGTTACTGTGTGAAGGACTAAGGAGGGGGCCTTCATTATTTTATTGTTGGGGGCCCAACCAAATTAAATTAAAAACTACAAATAAAAAAAATTGGGCTTTCTAAACATTTTTTTGTTGGGGGCCCAGGACCCCAATGGCCTCCATGTGCATCCGCCACTGCTAAGAAGTGAGCATTTTTCATTTCTTAAATTGGCTTTGAGTTTGTGTATCCCACATTGATGGATATATGAAATATTTGCAATGAATGGTGGATATTTTAAAGGGAGATTTGAGATGCTTTTGTGGCAACTCATGAGGTTGACTCCACTAAACTCATGTTGTTGACTCATTTTCTCTGGCCCTCTGAACTCATGGGTTTGCTCATTTTGGTCATCCTCATTTTAGCATGGAATTGGACTCATAGAGTTGTCTTATTTTTATGGCCCTCTTTTTGCAAAAAAATGTTTGTTTTATAAAACATATTTTATTAAAAGAACGACTAAGTATTGTAAGGTGGCATTACAAGACTTGAGTATTTTCAAATTTTGAAATACGGTGTGTTTTGATTATTCCATGTTGGTAGGAAAATGGTAGATTATAAAATAAATATGTCTTTGAAACTTATAGTCGTGGATTGGAATCAAAACCAATTTCAACCAAACGATAAAAATTTAGTTATGAAAAACCATGGTTGAAATCTACCAAAGTCAATCAAATGGTAAAACTTATAGTTATGAAATATTTTTCTACATGTATACAAAAGTATGAAAAATGTCTTTCAAATGTATAGTCGTGGTTGAAATCAAAGATATTTCCATCAAAACAATGAAAATTATAGTAATAAAAAACCATGGTTAAAATCAAAGCCAACCAGATGGCAAAACTGTTCTTTATCTTTATATATCTTAGAGCAAAACTTACAATGAATGAAGTGACGTCCTAATGAGCGAGTATTCTTCATTTCTTGAATTGTGGTTGAGTTCTGTATATCCCACATTAATGAAGATATGAAAGATTTACAATGAATCGTGATATATGAAGGGAGGTTGAGATGTCTTTGTGGCAACTCATGTGGTTGACTCCTCTTGACCGTTCCTCTAAACTCACTTTGTTGGCTCATTTTGGCCGACCCTCCGAGCTCATGGGTTGACTAATTTTGGCCAACCCTCTTTTCGGAAAAAAAATGTTAACCATACAACATAAAAAATTAAAAAAAAAATCTTTATTAGATTTAAGTGACGTTGAAATATTGAAGTATGGTGTGATTTTGGTTATCTTTTGCCAACATCCTTTTACAATTTCTTTTTTGTTAAATCGACATATGAAATGATATTATGAGATTTAAATTGTATAATAAGATTTGAGTAGTTAAAATTGTGAATTATAATGTTATTTTGATTATCTAACTTTTGTCTATTTATTTAAAATATTCATTAAAACCAAATGTCACATTGTTTTTACATAAATTTGTATCATCGAGCAACATGCAATGTCAAACACTAGTAATATACATTAAGAATGTAAAAAGTGGATTTTGATGTCTATGTCTCTAAGGAGGAAAGTATTAAATAGGATACATTTAGCAATGTATAAAAATGCAATTAAGAGGAAAGTACTAGGTAGAATACATTTAGTAATGTACAAGGATGCCATTAGTCTTCCGTTGTTTGAATATTTAAGGAGGTGTTTAGGATTGCTTATTTAAAGTGTTTATTCACATATTCCGCTGTGGTACCAATGATAAACAACTTTTAGTGATTGGATGAAAAAAGAAAAAAGATGTTTATACCGGTGTCAAACCGGTAATAAGAAGTTTCTGATAAGGTACTCTCATCTAACTTATCGGAAACAATTTCTTAGCTTTGAAAACCAAATTACATTTTTAACCCTCATATGCCTCCTTCCTTTAACCAAAAACTCTTCGAAATCGATTAAGGGACCTTTAATTTATGCTTCACCATTCCTCTAAAATCACAGCAAGGAATGGAGAAGAAATCACAGCAAGTATACGTCGACTCAAAACATCTCTTCCAATGAGTTTATTCGGCCAAACCCTGGACGAAGATAATGCAGAATAAACAGATAAAGAAACAAAGGGTCTTGGAAGAGGAGCAGTGACGAAGCGAGAATTGGTTAAGGTGAAGCATAAATCGATCAAGGGACCTTCGACCATTCTCTGAAATCGAACCACTTTTAGAAATCGAACCAGATTCTTGCTGTTATTTCTTCTCCATCAACAGAAATCGATAACTTCACCTACATAAATCGAAATTAAACCTTTGATTGAAACTTTCACCTACAGAAATCGATCGAAACTTTCACCTACAGAAATCGAATATCAAACCTTCGACCTAAACCTTCAACCAGTTCCTACAGAAATCGAAAAGGGTTTAGAGTTTTTCTTTCGGGATTACTTTCTGAAAAAGGTTTAGGGTTCTTCCTTATGTAAGCGACCTTCAAACACATTTCCTCCTTCCTTGTGTTTTTTTTTTTGATCATTTCACATGTATAAACAAAATTTGTCAAACATTAAAAAATAATTTATTAATCAAAACATTTTCCCATAAAACTCTAGTTTAATATCACGTAAATTAACCACAAGGGTGATGCCTGATTGATTTGAGCTTGGCTCCAAAGATCAAAAGTATCGGAAGGTTACAGGTTCAAATCCAATGAGTAATAAAAATCTCTGGCCATGAAGGTTCAAATGTGGTGACTCAAGACTATCTGCTTTGCAAAGCAGATGGTCACTCTAGAATTAGTCATATTACATAGCGTGTTGGATATCCAGGTTAATAAAAAATATTAATAAACACTCTTGGAAAAAAAAAACATAAGCTGTTTTATATAATCAATCCCAAACACACGAAATACGAAATACGAAATACGAAATCCAAAACCCCAAGAATACATGCTTGGGGCACGCAGCAACTTGTGCTGGAACTCTTTCTTGGTTGCTAATCATCAGGCGCACGGCAGTGACAGAGTGAGGGTGAGACCTAGAAACCAAATCGAGATGGAGATTGGTGGGTTAGACAGCAACGGCCGTCAGTTCAAGAACGCCGATGAAATGTGGAGAGAAGAAGTTGGCGATTCACAGAAGAAGGATGATTGGTACCGCAACGGTGTTGGCTACTGGCAAGTAAGTTTACTCCTCCTTTTCTCTTCTGCCACTATGTTTTCACGTAATCAATCTGTAGGAAAAAAAACCCTTAAACTGTGTAACAAATCATTTTGTTTTATTCTTCTGATTTGAAAAGAGAGAACTGTATTTTTTGTGGTGAGAAGGGTGTAGAGGCATCAATGGATGGAGTGTTGGGTGGATATGGACATGTGAATGAGCCTGATATCAAAGCCAGTGAGGCTTTTCTCAATACCCTTTTGACTGATCTTTTTCCTAATGCCGGCAGAAATCAGCATCTTGTAGCTCTTGGTTAGCTCTCCCTCCCTTGCTTTTGTTCAAGTATGTATGTATTGTTATTTTGTCTGTAATGAGAATTGCACCGGGTTATTTTGTACTCTTGCTACTTATATTTGATTGCGATATTGAGTTTGGGACACTGGGTTGCTCCAAATTTCCATGTTTTTGTAGTGGAGGATGCTAATTATTAGATATATAATGAACGTGTTTCCTGCTTACAGTTCATCTTAATGATTAATCTCCAAAAGAATATTTGATGTAACCCCACAATTCTCCATGTCTACAAAAGAAAACATTTAATTTAGTAAGGATGCGATGTCAAAAATGATTGAAGGGTTAGAAGATGACATGCTCCCTCGTATTTGTTTCTTGCTGTTTTAGTAGTGGGTTAATCCTCGGGGGAGAGAAAGAGCTAAAGATATGATGTTTGTATTCAAAGTTTGGCTTTTGAGAGGTAAGATCAATAAGAATTCTGTGACAAATATAACGGTTATCACTAGTTAGAGCATTTGTGACAGGTTTCTTTGCGGTTATGATATTTGAGGTTGAACGATAGCCTATTGGACATCAAATGTCAAAGTGCATCTCTTCTTTTGGAAAGGATGGAGTACTTTGAACAGTTCATCTTCATGGTGCATAACTATGATGTTGCGGTTATGTGCTATATAACCTCAGGTAAAATGTGATAAAGTTTTTGGCTGGAGTAGGAGTTCGTATCACTTACATGACAAGCATTGCAACATATATAATGGATAGAATTCAAATCCTAAAGATTGGACTTGATTTTTCGTTATCATTCCTGTCTATAAAAGATACAAAGCTACAACTCTTCCACAATATTTTTAACTATGTTTATATAAACTTTTTGTTACATCTTCTCTTCAACTAGCGGAAATTCATATCCTTACTTGTAAAAACTGCCTAAATCAGCAAAAGATTGTGAGGTATTTAACAATTAACATGCAAAATCACTCGGAAGCAATCAAACAGTTGTTAGTAGTGAATAACATTAGTAGTGACGATAAAAGGGATTTAAATGGTCTCTTGGACATTTTATGGCCAAACACACTTTTTGGCTGTTGATTATGAAGAGTAAATTGGCTGCAAACAGTTCCAAAAGAAGCAGTCTTCTCCCTCTAGACAAACAAGCCTATGCTATTAAGTTGTGGGTCATAGGCCTACAATCCCAAGAATGGTTGATATGCATATGCTATAGCCCATGGGGAATTCACTTGTTTTACAATCTCTATTGCATTCACCTCCTTATAGCTCTTATGGTTCCAGTATTTGTAACTCTCCTAGTTTAGATAAGAGGCTTGTTGTTGTTGCTGAACTATGACTCTACTCGGTATGGAAGCTAACTTACACCTCAATACCTTAATGTTAAGAACCAGGAAAAGACTTGTTACAATCCTGAGTCCAAAGGATCAACTGTAGTTTATTTGGCTACTAGATAAAGAACCTCGAATGTATAGGCCAATTGAGCAAAATGAACCAAATATAAATGAACCTTGTGCATTTTTATGGGGCTGAAATCTGTGGTGGAGGGAAATCATCTTTTTTAGGAATGGTCCTGTTACTAGGTAAGTTGTGTAAGGGAGAGTTTTCCATACTAATCTTGTTTAACTAAGATGTTTGAGGGATCTTTTGTATTGGTCTTAGGGGCTGTTTATTAAATGCTTGCAGGGTAAGCACTTACTCATATCACTTACCTTACTGATTGAGCATGACAAGGACCAAGAATCTTACCAGGTAAGAGGCATAACGAGGACCGAGAGTCTTACCTGGTAAGCGAGTAAAAAGACTCTTACACGGTAAGCACTTACCGGGTTTAAGATGCTTACCAACAATCTGTTTGGATGGCCGAGAATGAGTCCTGATAAGGTAAGTGAGAGTAATTTATCTTGGTGGTAAGCGCTTACGTGGTAAGTGTTTGGTAAATGGCCCCTTATAGAATTCTGTTGTTGGCTTGCATTCATATGGCTTATGCCTGTGGTGATCTTAATGCTAGTGGCAAAGACCTTGAGACCTGAAGTATCTTGGGTTCTCTCTTTATACAAGAAGATGCCTTCTAGAACTGGCTCTTTTATAACAATGGGATTAGTAGACCCGGTTTAGGTTTACCAACTTTATGATTTTCTTAACTTGATAAGATTTTTCACTTTATTCAAGTGAAGATAAATGATGTTGAGGCGCCTTTAGGTATGTATGTTTGGTTACTCCAATTCCATTACTTGGACTTAAGAAATATCATTTTGCAAATTGATCCTAGTTCCAACTTTATACGTTGATTCAGATGCCATGACTTTAATCACCAGTTTACTAGTATCCCTTTCCTGCTTTTTGTATACAAACGAACAAATTCTGTAGTAATGATACATATTTGGTAGCTTCAATGTGAAGATGAAGTTACTGTCTACAGAAAACCATTATGATCAAGTTTACTAATGTAAGATACGGTCATACATTTGAATAGTTGAATGCATTATGATCTTGACAAAGATAGGGATAAGTGTCACAAGCAGCATAAGGGGAATTTACCTAGGCTAGAAATGTAGAAGTTTTTTGAGCATTCGGCCAAGGGTAAACTTAAAGAGTTTGTATCACATAATAAAAGAAGGTTATTAGAAAACTCATATTTAGTTCATTCAGCAAATTCGAGCATGGCATAGAGAACTTTTGGGTTACATCAGTTCATAGTTCATATGTAGATTAGACTTGTGTATATGGAAAACAAGAATTGTTTATAGATTCAACTACTATAGAAGTTACCAAAATACTTGAGAAATTGAGCTTACCCCTTAGACCCAAGTACAAACTGAAAACAGTAACTATGTCAATTCGACATAACTGAATCGGTCAATGAGTACTGCATTCCTTGTTATCAATTTCATTTAAATAAACTACTATATATATACACATGTTATTATTTTTAAATAGTGTTCGTATTTCAACTCATTTTCAAAGCAACTAATGATCACAATTATTTTTTGGTAACCAATAAAATTGCATTAGGATTATTTATATTGAACAATGGTTGGAACAAGGAAAAATTACGAAGAGAAGCAGGAAGCAGGGCGAAGGACATGCAAAGAAAGGGTTTTCCTATGAGCTTTAGCAAATCCCATATCATTTAATATTATAATTTTATGAGATGGAATTGCGAAAGTGTTTAAATGCTAACAATACATCTAAAAACCCACACATAAGACAAACAATTATTCTAACAATAGAGCTAATAATGACCCTAGAACATATGGAATAAGCATCATAGTTGGTAAATAAAATTTTCTCTATGTAATAATACATAAACTGCAGTTATATTTCTTGAATTTCAATTAATGCCATTGTCATTGCCATTGTTAAACCAAATTTTTTCCATGAAGACACCCAACTTGTGAAAAAAGTTGTGCAAAATTTTTTGGAATCTTAAGTGACGCTGAAAATATGTCACAAAAAGAAGAAATGGAGTTAAGAAGAGTTAAAAGAAGAGCAAGTATATTTTTGATGGATTATATGGTGTTCATTGATGAGGTTAGGCAACGTCTGGATGCAAAATTGGATGTTTAGGGGGAAGAGTTTGGTATCTAAAGATTTTAGATTGATTCGAAATAAAAACAAGTATGTGATTTGCTGCTTTGGTGCGATTGATAGGGAAGCAGAAGACATGCTAACCATCGACAAGTAGTAATCTTTCATGTTCGAGATATGTTTTAACGAAGGGGTAGTAAGAACGATGATGCTAGTCGTAGGGTACGAGCAAGGTGCTTGAAAAGACAAGCTTGAGTAGTCCTGTATGATCAACAATTCTTATAGAAGCTGAAAGGTAAGTTGTAGAGCATGACAGAGAAACCTGCTATAATTTACTCGATTCTTATAAAAACTAAAATGTTGAGATGGATGAGCAATATGGTTAGAAATGAGGATATATGAACCAAGTGATTGAGGAAGCTGAAGAAACACCATTTGGGTACATTAATTAGAGGACTGAATTTGTTTCAAGAAGTGCTCATTAAGAGAGGTAGAGGTCGGTGAAGTTTGGCATGAAGGGAAGTAATGAAGATAGATTTGCTGCATATAGCATACAAGCTGGTCTTCAGTAGGAGTATGAAATGAGATGCTCTTCGTGTCCTTACACCCTCATCACTTTATGTTTGTTTTTTTGGATTGCATCATTTTGACAAGTTCTTTTCGTCTGATTTTTTAGCCTACTGCAAATAGTTTGGGATAAAAGGCCTGTTCGTTATTGCTGCTATTATCGTTGTAACTATCAATTGAAACAAATATTGAGGTAATATAAAATCAGGTTGTTTGAAAGTTACATTCTTCTAGTCTATTGCATGATTTGATGATCAACAAAAGTATCATATTTAAAGAGAGGATCATGCAGCTCATCATTATGGATAGAATAGTTTAAACTTGTGGTAGAATCACTGATAGATACACATGAAATCACAAGAAACATAATTCTGGATGCTTTAGTGATCTGAAACTGATATAATATTTGTATCAGTCTTTCGGTTATCTCACCATAATGTTATCATCCAATAGACTTCCACTTGGTGTATAATCACATACAACTTTTGATATGGGCAGCCAACAACTTTTGAGGTGTTCCAAATGTAAATAATACTCACTTTTGCCTTAAATATTTCTCCTAATTTGCCTATCCAATAATTAATTACAAGTTTATCTCTATATGTCAAGATATAACTTGTAGTTTTTAATGTTTTGAATTTCCATTAATGTCCTTGTCTTCCCCTATCAATTTCTAGTTAGAATTTGTTGTTTATTGAAGATTCTTACTGTTGGCTAAAACTGCTGCAGATTGTGGTTCTGGAATTGGAAGGGTGACTAAGAATCTTCTTGTGAGATACTTCAATGAGGTAATGACTTTTGTACTCTTTGTTCATCATACTCTCTTGACCTGAAATTGATTGCTTCTAGGTTGATCTTCTCGAGCCCGTGTCACATTTCCTGGATGCTGCTCGTGAGAATTTGGCTCCAGAAAATCTGTTGGTCTCCGGGGAGCATAAAGCTGCCAGCTTCTACTGTACCCCACTGCAGGTAAGTATAATGCTACCTGGTGTTCAAATGTATTTATGCTTGTGGCTTTTATGTATAGGTCACTTCCAATGGAATTTAAATGTCGACTCATATACTCCTACTGCCACTGCACTATCATTGATATGATGATGGAAAGTCACTTTATCCTTGAAAAATATATAGTCCTAAATGCATAAGATTGTTGCTAAAAAAATGGTTTGTTGTTGAAACGTGAATTCCAATTATGCTGATGGAGCTAGCCAAATCCAGTGTGAAGTTCGCCCATGCTGACTTGTACTCTACAATTTGAACTAAGGGCGCCTCTTTGGCTGCATATGCTGTCACATCCAAAATTTTATGGTCGTCAATCTAATTGTTACCACCCAACCCGTGAAGTATGCTGTGTTCAGCAGTTCTTGGTCAAGTTACACTGGTCCCTAAGCACATTTACCTTGTGCAACTGAATACATGTATAGGAATTTCAAGTGTTCAAATCGGAGGAATGAAGAGATGTACATTTTCAAGACAAATGTGTTTCTTTCGACTTGGAATTGTCAAGGATTTTGAACACTTAAAGAAAATCGGAAGCTGGATTAATAAAATTCATCACAAGTACCACAATAGGAAAAATATTTGTGATGGATGTTTAATGAAATGTTCTGAATTTGCATCTCTTCCACAACAAGATCTTGTGGGCTCTATTTAATGGGTCATTTTATGTTGTGTATTGTTTCTTTCTCCTCTGCCTCAAGCACTCAAATCCCTTGTGTGAATACATACAGACATTGATAATGGTAGGCATGTCGGTAAGTATTACATTCATATGTACTATTCCTTACCAAAAGTTTCTTATAGACTATCCTGAATTGTCATTCAAAAGATCAGTGTCTCTTTACGCTCTTCTATTTATTGAAAAAATTCTTCATCCTTCGACTTTCCTTGTAATGTCTTCTATTGTGAGATGAAGCTTTTATTGAAGATGGTCAACTGTTAGACCAGAAGCAAGAAATGAGTTTTCAAGTTCTATTTTAAGTTTGATGAGGAACAGTTGTAGTAGTTGTGCATTATCTAGAAGATTAAGTATAATCATCACACCTTTTCTGTTGTCTGAATCTAGTTATCTTGGTGTTATAGGAATTCAGTCCAGATACAGGACGGTATGATGTCATATGGATCCAGTGGTGCATTGGACATCTTGCTGATGATGACTTTGTGTCATTCTTTAAGAGAGCAAAGGTAAATCACTTTCTCTTCTTTCCTACTCACCTATCTTTAAACTAAACTTTATCTAGAATAATTCAGCCCGGGTCATTGATATATACATATATATATATATATATATATACATATATATATATATATATATAATATTTGGTTGAATTACAGTTTGTACTGATGATACATGCATTTATGTGTAGGCTGGCCTTAAACCTGGTGGATTTTTTGTTTTGAAAGAAAATCTTGCAAGATCTGGTAGGAAGTCTCTGTTCTCCAAGCACAATCTGTTTTAGATACATGCATAATATCAGTTATGTGAAAATATGCCATATACTTGTCTCTTTTTTCAGTTATTGAATGCAATTGTGGTTCAAAGTTGCAACAATTATTTGAAAAAAGAATACATATGAGAACTGAGTTTTGAGTTGGCCTATTCCTATCCCTATTTAGGATTTGTGTTGGATACTGAAGACAAGAGCCTTACAAGGTCGGACATGTACTTCAAGGAACTCTTTACTCGCTCCGGTCTTAACATCTACAAGTTTAAGGTAATTCAAATTATTGTCCTTTCATAACCGAAATGTTTACTTTTGCATCTAAAACTAGTATTTCTTTCATTAATTCCTCTATTTTGTCATTAAGGCCCGGTTCATATATTCATTGATGCATATACACTAATGAATTTCAGTGAATATGTACTTGCATACGTAGTAGAATATTGTATTGATGAATATACACAGTTGACGGAATACATATATTCATAGTGTATATGCAAATCTTCACGATTTCTCAAATTGTTTGTTATGGCTCAGGATCAGAAGGGATTTCCAGATGAACTATTCCCGGTGAGGATGTATGCATTGACGACAGACACATGGAAAAAAATCGGCACATCACGACCAAAACGACATGCAAATAGGCCGGGCCTTATAAAATGAAGACTTTCCCCGTGCTAGTTTAGACTCTTGTTTTTTGTTAAGGATATTATTAAAGGTGTAAATGATACGAGACAACTCGCGAGCTACTGGGGGTCGACTCGTTCAACACTCGATTCGAATAGGCTTGGCTCGAACTTGATTTCGACATATTAGCGAGTTGAGTCGAGCTATCAAATACTCGACTCGAAAAGCTCGTGAGATACTCGATATTTTTATTTTTATTTAGTTTTAAAGTATTATCAATTTTATAATATAATATAATAAAAATGTCTTAAATTTTAGATATGTGACCAAAATTGTGCATTTGTTGACTGTAAAACTAACTATTTATTTTTTATTTATAAAAATCATAATTTAAAAAAAAGACAAAAAAAAATGAAATCGTCCTAAATTGGAAGAAAGATAGTAAATGAATGGTGAAGAGGTATTATAAAAAGAGGGGGTGAATGAAGTGTAAAACTTTACTTTTTTGATGATTAAGTTGGAGGTGCATCCCTTTAGTTTTATAAAAATTAAAAGAACACCTTTAAGTTTTAAGATTTATAAAAAAAGACCCTAAACTTTCATAAATTTCAACTGGTTCGAGCTTGATTAGATTTTGAGTTTGACCATGCTTCGAACTTCAAAACGAGTTCGAGTTTAAAAAGTTGCAATCGAGTTCCAGTCGAGTTTAGTTTTTAACTACTTGGGGGATCTCGAGTCAAGTTCGAGCTTAAGAAATGGCTATCGAGTTCAAGTCGAATATATCAATACTCGAGCTTGACTCGTACTATTTACACCCTTATACATTAACAAAGCATCGGGCGGGGATGCTTTCAATATTATGATGCTAGTTATGATATTGGTGCTAGTGACGATATTGATGCTAATGACGATATTCTTGATATATGTTATTCTTGGTTGATATATTTTAAGGGATTTTCAATGCATGTATAAGTTTCTTGTTATACAATGTCTTGATATGTAGTTTAGTTTAGTGGACCTAATGGTCAAGGTTCAAACACAAGATAAATATGGAACTAATAGGAGTCACATAGTGTCTAAAATACCAATTAGCGCAATGTTATCAACAAAACAAAAATGGAATGAATATAGAATAAGATAAAAAGGTTTCTCTTATTTCTGATAATGCCTTATGAAGATCGACGGGATAATCTTCTACTGACAGAGTGAAATTTCATCATATGATACCGTCATACACCTAACAAATACTCTCTCACTCAATTACTTCGTGATTAGATTTAACATTTAAGTGTACGACTCAACTGTAAGTAGACTTCAAGATCATTAAGCCAAAGGACGTTGACCATATGAGAAACACCTACGACACTCATATGACATCCCGTATTGGGTCTGTCCCGCATGAAAGTTTACCAACATGTATCCATGCGTTAACTCCATGTAAACTATGAGTTCCGACAAATGTTAGTTGTAACATCCCCACAATCCGGAAAAAGTTACTAATTTAAGACTTTGGAGAAACATAAAAAAAAACAATACAAGATTCTTCCTTAAAGACTACACTTGCTTACTTACAAGGCAAAACAAGGTTAGAAAGCAACAACCTTATAATCCAATTCCTTACAAGGACTAGATTAGAAACGTGTTTTTACTAAAACTCAATAAAAGTTGTAATATCCAAAACGACAGGGAACACGTCCCAAAGAGCTGAGTCCAAAAATCCCAAAAACCGACAATTTTGAACAACACATACCATCTTGTGATGATGGGGGAAACCGTTTGCATCAAATACACTAAAATATGCCACGAATCAATGTTATCGAATTCCACCTTAGATTTATTTACTTTAATGCATCCTTTTACCAAGTGTTACCTCAAGTCTACAATACCTTTAATGCACACCCCATACCGAGCATCACCTTAACGTCATCGTACTTTTAACACACACTCCTGTGATAACCGGGTTCTGATCATTACCCTAGGTATTTGTTATGTGAATTAACTGTTTATGTGAATACATACTTACGTAAATTTAATATGTGAGTATGTGTATTTTTATGCATAGGGATATATGCATAATATGTAGATATATATATATATATATACATATATATGTGTATAAAATATATATGTGGAGTGTGTATGCATGAGGTGCATGCATAAGTTTATGTGTATGTAAGTAAGAAATATTATTTGTACGTGCATGCATGTGGGTAAGGGCCTGGAAGCCGACCTTTCCTGTTTTAGAAAGGTATAAAAGGGAGAGTTTTACCATCATTTCATTCCCTTGCCATTTTTAAAAATCTAAAGAGTGATTTGAGAAGAGTTGTCCGGATATTCAAAAGAAGTTTGCAATCTCCTTCAAAAACTGCAAATTCTCATAAGGTGAGTAATTTCTAA